CGGCCGCCCGCCCGGCCCGCTCGTGCGCCGCTACGCTGTGGGGGAGGGAGAGCGCCGAGGAACCTTCCTTGAGGAAATGGAGGCAGCCCTGGGGGGGGGACCGGGGGGGCGGGAAAAAAAGCCGCCGCCGAGGCTCCGGCCCGGGAGTGTGGAACATCGAAAGTCGCAGGCGGCCGTGCAGTGCCTCGCTGCGGCCGGAGGGTGGCGCCGCCCCGCGCTCCGGGAGCCACGGTGGGGTGGGCGCTCCGCCGGCCGAGGCGCAGGGACGCGGGAGCCCCCCGCGCGCTCAGCCTCCCGCCGCCCGGCTCGGCTCGGCTCGGCTCCTCCCGGTCGCGCAGTCAGCAAGTTCCGAGCGGGCGGGCGAGCGAGCGAGCGAGCGAGCGGGGGAGGGGCGGGCGCGGCGGCGCGCGTGCTCGCCGCTTGCCTGGCGGAGGGGGGCGCGAGCTGCTCCCGCGCGCCCCCGCGCGAGCGCGCTCCCGCCGCGGCTCCTTTCCACCGGGCGGGGGCGGGGGCGGGGGGGGTGGCCGCGGGGGGTTGGGGAGGTGGGGGCAGATGCGCACGCGTCCGCCCGCGCGCGGCCGGGACAAAGAGCGCGGCGGGGACCCGGCGGGCTGGCCCCTGCGCCCTTGGCCGCCGAGCTCGTAACTGGAAGAGGAGGAGGCGGGGGCGCGGTCTCGCGGGGCCACGGGTGGCTTCCGGCCTGAGCCCGCCTCCGGGCTGACGCTGCCCATTGGACTTCCCGCCCCTGAGGTTAGGGGCCGGCGGTTACCCGGGAATCCCGTACCTGAGCGAGAATCCTGGCGCGTGGCTGGGGCTTCCCCAGTGCCCCGAGAGGCAGGAGATGAATGGTGTTATTGAGGAGGCCAGGCACGCAGGCAAAGGAAAGCTGCTTCTGGCCCCTCTGAGCTGAAGGAAGTGGCAAGGTAAAGAGTCCTGGGCTCTGAGCGAGGTGGATAGGATTTTGAGACCTGGGGACCAACCTCAGCTAATCTCTGGTTCCCATCGTGCAATGTCGCTGCCAAAGGGGACTGCCCCTCTGGACGCTTTGAAAACTTACCAATCCCAAACTGTTTTTTAAATGTCCCGCTCGAGATGTAAAAAGTGGAGTAAGGAAGTTTAGGGGCTATAACCTGACATGTCCAGCGGCGGGGGCTCTGCTTTGCAAGAGAGACACCACTTTTGGGTGGTGAAGCAAGAGAAGCCGTGGAGGGATCTGTGGCAGTGTCTTCATTAAAAGTTTTAGATAGAGATCATGAAGGATCCTTTACTCCTGCCTTTCTTTTTGCAGACTTCAAGTGGAGGCCAGTTTTGCCCCAAGCACAAAATAGACAGAAGTCCAGAAACTTCCTGTTTGCAGCTCCTGAGACCATGTTCCAGTGATGGAGCCTCGAAGGAATTTGTGCATTCCTCTCCCACAAGTGACCAAGGGCAGGGGGGCTGGGAGAGTAAGTTCACAGAAGAAGCTACAATGCTGGAGCCATAAGAGATGAGCCAATGTTCAAAAGAAAGGAGAAAAAAGGGAGTGAGCCAACATTTTCCTCCTAATAGAAAAGCTTTGGTAAAAAAACTACTCAAAACTATAAGTCACATCTGTAACTTTTCAAAGACACAATCGGTGAACTTACACAAACGGGCAATATGCTGGTATATGCTAGGCACATAAACTGCTTTCAAAATTCATGTGTCCAGAGCCAAGTCTCACTTCCTGCCAAAGAGCTCCGTGTCTGGGAAGAGACCCCATTACTGACATTCACATGGATGGGAAGAAGAGGGATAATGACCTGTGTGTGACCCCCCAAACCCCGAGCACTTCAATTTGACAGAGTGAAAGGGTGTGGATGCACAGGGTCTGAATCAGAAAATTCCCAGTATGTAACAGATACTAGAGCAGCAGCCAGCCAGTTTGGAGTTTGGGCTTTGTTGGAGATGCAGCCGTCACTGTGGGTGTGTAAAAGGTGAGCTTCTGAGGGAAAGTCAGTGTCCTAGAAATAACATGAAGGCCCAAAGGCTGATTGTTAACAAAAAGTCCAGAAATCTTTGGTGAGTTTGGATTCATGGAATCCAGAGCATTAGAATCTATGGGAACTGCCAAACTCTTAAGCAGTTGGGAATGCACTTGTTATGCTCAGTGTGTGTTTGGGCAAAAAGAAAATAGATAGACTATGAGAAATGCTGTGTTCCAGGAGGGAGAAAATGGGAGCAGTATTGACTACCACTTAAAAAGCAACTGGTCCAGAAGCAGCCTTTCTGTGGAGAGTGAGAGCGGTTATATGCAAAACAGAGAAGTGTCTTGTGCTCTGTCCACCGGACCTAGAAAAGTGGCCAATTATGTGACAACATTTATGTAATAAAGGTTTCTTTAAAGTCAGAATACTAAAGGAGTTATTAATGCAGCTTGGAGTTGTGGCGGTGAGCTTGAACCAAGAGAAGTTATTAGAGGGAGCCTAGAGGGATCAGTAGGCCTGGAGAAAATATACACAATAAAGACAACGTTCTTGGCAAAATATCCGAAAGCCAGTTGGGGATACATAGCTCAATAATAGAGTGTTTGCCCACGTGCTCAGGGGCCTGGGCTTGATCCCTAGCACAGGGCAAAGGGAAAGAAAAACTAGAACTTTAAAAGGCATGTAACAAATAGTACTTAAGCTATGAAGACCATTGAAAGGATCTGTACATTTAGAGAGAGCAGTACTCTGCTACACCCTCCCTCCCATTGAGTTTACTAACCCGGCTGGTCAGGTGCTTTTTCTAGCTGTCCTTCCATGATGTCACCTCCCTGTCAGAGGAGCAACTCTTAAGTTATAAACTGTTTGGATAAGTTCTTCCTCACAGGGCACGCTGTTTTGTACTTTTTCTGTTTGTTTTTGCAGTGTCTATGTTTGAAATTAGAGATCACCGTGATGAATAACCACTCCAGGTGATATATAAGTCTAAAGTGATGCAAATTATCCCCTAAAATACAGAGTAGTTCCCCTACAAGGTGCCCACAAAATAGGACCAAGGAGCAGACATCAGCTACATGATGACTGACGTCCCCTCCCTCCCTTGCTCCTTCCTATCTTCTCCTTCCCCCCCCCCCACCACCCGCATCTGTCTGTCTTCCTCCCCTCTTTCTCATTAGTATGGGGTCCTGCCAGCCTCTCACAGTCCTAAGGGGATCAGATACAAGAGCAAAGACTCCAAATCCAAGTGCAGTGGCTATTACCATTATTGACCTCCCCCTTCTTCCATCATCAACACTGTGACTCAATGAAGGTATTTTTAATTTCAAGAACGAGTAAGGCTCACATCACATCTCCTTAGTTTGGGAGATGCTTTTCCAGAAGCCTTCCCATGGATCTCAGTGTTTTCTAGTTACACACCCATCGTTTTTGTTTGTTTGTTATTTTTTTTTTTAGTTGCTTAAGAAGTTTCTGGGTTGTGTTATTGTGTAACCTAAGGTGATACTTGCAAAGCTAAACTTATAGCCACACATACACACAACAGAAATAAAATACAAACTTACTAATGTATTCTGTGGATTTGGGGGTGGGTTTGTTATTTCTTTTTACCCTGTAACTTGTCTCAGTGTACTTTTCTTCACCTCTTTTTCTTTTACTCTCTCTCTTTTTTCTTTTTCTTTTTTCATTTGGCTATTTCTGGTACTTTGCAATCACTTGTACCTTCAGTCCCTAAACTTTTCTCTTTCTGTTTCTATTCAGTGAGCTGGATTTGTGTCTTGAGAAATCAAGTCAGGCCCAGCTATACTGTACCAGGCTCTATCTGCCAGAGTATCTGGACTCCTGAAGTCCAGTGAACTGCTTAGCATCTGGGGGTCTCTCCAGGACATACTGTGTGGCCCCCACTGCAGGGCTGAGATCAGAGTGTGGGAATGTCTGTAGGCCAGGGCTTGGCCTCACAGGCGTTAGAGCACAGTGATCAGGTCTTGCTTTGTTTCCTTGAGATAACTGAGGACTGTTTCTTACAGAAAGAACTTTTTGAGGAATTCAAATCCTCAAAACAGAGAGCACCTCGAGCAAAACGACAGGAAGAGGAGCAACTGTAAGGAAATGTGTTTTACTTATCAGGGGGAAAAGATGAAGCGTGCTGGTATGAGAGAAGGTGGGGAGATGGAGAAGAAATAGGAGAAAGGGGAAGAAAACCAGGATGGGAAAGAAAAGGATGAGAAAGGAAAAAGAATGGAGGAAGTAAAGGATTAGGAAGGGGAGGGAACTATTCCAGGCCGTGGTGCAGATTCAGGAAACAGTACAGCCTGGCAGACACCATGCAAAACAGACAAAAACCCTAAACCAAGATACCTCTAAAAAAAAAAAATGTTTATGATTAAATCCTCGCAAGTTGATTTTTTTAACTTCCCTTTGTCCATTTTCAAAGGTGATAAAAGTTGTTTAGAAAAAACAGTTGAGCAGGAGTGTAGTTTTTCTGGGTCTTAGTATACAGCCCTGGCTGGCCTGGAACTCACAAACCTCTGCCTGACTCTGCCTTCCTGAGTGCTGACTGAGAAGGTTTGTACCACTACCACGTCCAGCTTAATTTGGGGGTTTTAACAGAAGCCTTAACTATACTCATACCTTTCAACCATATCTCTCCATTTTAAGAAAGGCATCTTGCCAGACATGGTGACTCATGAAAGTTCATGGGTAGCCTGAGCAAGAAAGGGAAGAAAGAGAGGAAGAGAAGGAGGAGGGAGAAGAAGTATAAGTAAAGGGCAGATCTGTTGTCTTAGCTGGGGTTCTCTAGAGTCACAGAACTTTTGGATAGTCTCTATATAGTAAGGGAATTTGTTATGATGACTTACAGTCTCCAACAATGGTCAGCTGTGAACCGGAAGTCCAAGGATCTAGTAGTTGCTTGGTCTCAGGCTAGTTGTTTCAGCTGGTCTTCTGTAGAAGTAGATTCCAGCAGATGTGCTGGCAAGTAAATGCAAGCAGGCAAAGATAGAATCTTCTTCCAATGCCTTATGTAGGTCTCCAGTGGAAGGTGTGGCCCAGATTCAAGGTGTGTGTACCACCACTCCTGGATCTAGGACTTGTTTTGTCCCCGGCTGACCTTGAACTCAGAGATCTTCTTGTCTTAGTCTCCTGGGATTAAAGGCGTGTACTGCCTTGCCTGGGCCTAAGCTTTTCATGGCCACTATGCCTCAAAATCTCCATGCCAACATCCAGGTCAGGAACTTGTATCTCCCAGCCTCAAGATC